GGACCCCCCGAACATTTATGGGATAACCTCAAAAGACGAATAATTCCCTCCACGATCTTAGAAGGACTTTTCGCGAAGAATGGGCTAACCTCTAGCAAAGAGACATTTCCAGACTGGTAGGAAGTATGCCGAGGCGTCTTCGAGGATGTAATTAAGGCAAGAAGAGGAAATACCCGATATTGAAATGTTAATTAAAAATCTAAAACAAAATTAAAACAAATTTTATCTGTCCTTCTTTTTTTTTTAAATTTTTCTTAGCAATTTACATTTTTTTTTACATTTCAGGTCAGGTATCAGGTCATTGACTGTTGCTGCTACATTTCATTCAATTTATATTAAGCCGTTGTTTCTCATTGGAAGATGGCTGTTTCCTCCTCCTCATTGCATAATCTGCAGATGGGATCATCGTTATATATGCTCATGTTGTGTAGATGTTTTCTGATTTCCCAGTGATCGGTTAATAGTCTATCACTCCTCTGAGTCTAGCCCTCTCCAATTGCAGCAGTGAGTTTGCCAATCTTGGTGAGGGTTGTTTCAACATGATTCGGAGTTTACTGTGTCGGTCCGCTATAGTTTATCCATTCTCGCTTTGTTTTGTTTGGATAGATTCTGAGATGAAGGATTCTATATTTGTTTTTGTTATCCCAAGTATAGGTTCAGGGCCTAGTTTGGTCTTGCAAAACCTCCAATGTTTTGCTTAGGAAAGAAGAAAATTTACCGATAATAATAGGGTTTTTTGATGTTCATGAACTTTACAGCCGTATTTTACTTATTTACGGCTATGCATCAAGTCAATATTTTACGATTTCTTATTGATACTACGTACAAAACTATCTACTACCTGTAAATATAATACTAAAATACAATTCGCGAAGAAGTAAAGGGTGTAAAGATTATATAAATTGTAAATTTAAAAGGTTTGCTTATTTCTAAAAACTCATTTGAAATTTTGTTCATTGGAATGTTTTTGTTTATTTTTTTCTGGATTTACTTTCAATCAGATGCAAAACCAAGAGAGGAATGTGGCACAAATTTGCCTAACAAATTCGTCTGAAAAAGCAGGGATTGCGCAATCCTTTATTATTCCAAAAGGGATGTCTTTTTATTTTAGTGATGAAATGATTACAGGTTTGCACAGGTTGTCGCATGCTCCGAGACGGCCTTCTCACCAAAATTATCAAATAAATTAACAATGTAAATTCGTATTAGCATATGATGAAGTGGAAGACGGAGTGTGAGAAGAAAGGAAGGGGAGATATAAAAGCGACGAGAACGACGAAAAAACTGGCACGTCTGATGTGTTAGTAATATCAGTCTAATCACTGCTGTCGTTAAACCGAACGTTTGGTTTGCCAACACGGTTTACAAATATGAACATCGCCTTAAAAATCCCTCAAGCCAGATCACGCGTTGACATGGGCAAATTTATTAACTAACTACAAAAAAAAAAAAAACTCCTGAAATTACGATGAAATCACGCATTGCCCATGTTTCTTAAGATTGTTATTTATTTATTTACGATAATCAATGCAATCCCTTCATTAAGACAGTTCTAGATATTGCAAATTTGAAACGGTTAAGTTTCTTTTTGTGAGATCGAGTCATTAGACGTCACTGGTTGACGTTAAGAACATATTGGTGAATTGCACTCAGATTTATCTCAACAGTTTAATCTCTAAACTTTGAATCGAAGGAAACGCTATCTGGTGTGCTATTGCATTTAAAGGTAACAGCAAGATATATAAATGTTTTGATCCACTATAATAAAGTAATAGAGCAAAAAGGCGACATCGTTCATACGCATCTTTTGCGTCTGATGCGACCAATGGAGTGTTTGATATGCCTCTTTATAGTAAATTAAATTACTATTAAAGTTAATATTAAAAGTTAGCGTCACGAGCAGGGCCTAAACGCACAACTTTCGAATAGATTCTTCGATCTACTTTTGGACTACAATGACGTTCGGTCCCCCGAGACATCAAACTTTGACGTTTGGAACAAGGAAGTAGAAAGATAGATAGGTAGGCAGACCGACAACCAAAGGTGGAAAGAAATATGCATAAAATATGCTCACATATACATGTGTGCGGGATAGAGAGAGAGAGAGAGAAAAAAAAGGAGAGAGAGAGAAAAAGAGAGGGAGAGACAGAGAAAAGGAGAGAGAGTGTTACGGAACGAAATCTTGTCAGAAGGCAAGTTTAATTTTTCCCAACTATGGTTCATGGAGAAGAAAAAGGCCAGGGGTTTGTGGTTTTTTAAATTACCGTCTGAAAAATCTAAAAGAAATATTATAACAGGTATCGTGAATAAATAAAGAGAAACAGGAGTTAAACGATATGCACTCAGATATTACTGATCCCTAATATTAATATAATAATCTAGGCAAAGTTCTGGGAGTCTCACTCACTCAATCACTATTCGATTTATTAATAATTTGGATTTGAAAACATTTTCAAATGTCGTGTAATCTATTTGATTCTCGGCAACAAATGAAATGACCACAGAGAGCTTTCGTGAAGATAAACTACAGTTTAATTATTAAATCCATTAAAGTTCGTGGTCCAATTGAATTCGTGGGTTCGAATCCCGCTCGTGCCATTGACTTTTTTTATCTCAACTAAAAACCTTAATTAATTTTAATATATTAATTGGTCAAGCGGACCACGAAATTAGTGAATTTAATGATTTAAAATGAAGTAAACTTCACTAAAGCTCTCCGTGGCCATTTCATTTGTCGTCGAGAATCCAATCCGATTACACGAAATTTGAAACATGGCAAAAATGAGGGAAAATTCAAAAGGTGGGGTGAGATGGGGAGTTGATGTCCGAGTGGATCGAGGTCACGGTAGCTCAAGTGGTAGAGCAGCGGCGTATCTAGCCGAAGATCGTGGGTTCGAATCCCGCTCGAGCCATTGACTTTTTTATCTCAACTATAAACCTTAATTGTTATCTTTTACAATGAATATATTTATTGGATGCATATTAATATATATGGGAAGTTAGGTATATGCTTTTTACAGTTCTGAGGTTCGGTAGTACATATGCAATTATAATGCGTGGTGGTAAACTGACGACGTTTTGAAATAACAAGTAATTCGCTTTAAATATATGGTTCTGAATAAATAAAAAAAAATTAAAAACGATGATTTCAACCTCAATATTCGAGGTTCCTTTTCATCAGGACTCAATTTCCCAATTAAAAGTTAAATTGAAGTATTAAACAAAATTATGTAAATTTTACGGGCGGTATGCACTCGTATTGCACGCCAGGAGTTTTTTTTTAAAATGCCTGTCACGAATGTCTGGCATTTAATTAACATTTAACGACCGGTCCTCTTGCATCTGTGTCACGAAACGAATAAATTGCCCATTCAATTTATTTCACAGGTGGATTACCCTTTCAACACATAAAACCGATTTTCGTCACTCTGGAAGGCGACATAATCGCGTTTACAATTTCGAAAAGTATTGTTAAAGTATAATTCGTGACCTGGTCATTACGCGGAAAGAAAGTTGGTTGTTATCGTAGGGCCCCCATCACTATTACTTACGCAGTAATTTTTCTTTCCAAGCCCACGTTTACCATTTATAAAGGTTAAGAGCATTGACTGGTGTTTTTTCGTCTACAACTGTCAGGTTAACACTTAACCTAACCATACCCATTAAACATGAACAGAGCCGGTTTAACAATAATATTTTCTTTTTAGACTGGTTTTAACCACATCATAGCGGACAGGTTATTCATTTATATTGCTAGGATTAATGAAATTTTAATTCTTTCACTTTCCATTCAGAATTAGCACGGCTATAAAAACAATAAAAAATATAATGATTATTTAAAGAGCGTCTGGTGAGTCTTCGAGATGCGGTCTAGTGTGCTGTAGGTTAAGAAAAACCATTTTCTTTATCGTGCCAACGTTAAAATATTCGAATACATATAAGATCTTAATATGAATTTATACAATGATATATACAATATAAAATTTTCAGGTTTAATCGAAATATTTGTACTCACTCAAAGTGTGCGTTTTCTGCACATGTGTCATTATTGAGTGTCGAGTTGAGAGTGTTAGTGAGATATTAATGTTTTTTGTTTACATGTTTGATTTTGAAGGAGTGGGGAAGGAAGTAGGGATAGAAGTATAAATTTAAACAATATTTATAAATCCCAGGCCCTGAAGATGATCTCAATAAAGGTCGAAACGTTGGCACGATAAAGAAAATGTTTTCAAACATACACCCCGCCAGACCGCATCTAACGATCTCTAAAAAATCAGTAACTAACAGTCATTAAAAAAAGTATGTATTACAGGAGTGTGACAGTTAATAACAATAATAAAAATGAATAACCATTTTTACAGAAAAAATTTCAATATTAGCCATAATATGACTTGAACGATTGACATTAGCGAATGGATATTCTTTACAGGTACTGAAATATGTAATAGAAAAAATGGAATAGCATTTGTTGTGCTGCAAAAGTTGCTTGTACCTATATTTTGATAATCCAAATTTAATGCTATTCAAAAATCAACAGCTTAAACACCATATTTCGTTCGCTATCTACACGCTATGTTCTTAAATGCTTCAGAAAATCATAATTTCATTTTTTATTAAGCTTCTTTTTTGGAGACTTAATATTGATCTTAACATAATAATTTTGAAGTATTGCACATTTTATCAATCGACATGTTGAAAGACAAAGCCAAATTATCAGAAAGATCGTCATAAAGAAGTTTATTGAAAAAATTATCACTTGATTATTTTCACTAAAAACTGCGTTTATTAATTAATAAAAGAAATCCTAAGGTCGTGGGTTCGAATCCCACTCGTGACGCTATCTTTTTCATTTCAACCAAGACCTTACAAACAAAGAATAATTAAGTGAAATAAGTAATTTGGTCAATCGGACCACTAAACATATTGGATTTATTAATTAATGTTACTGTTATGCAATTCTTACTAAAGTATTCTGACAGAAATGCTTTTTTACTGTTTAGGTGTGTGAAAAACAACGATGTTCTCAAACTGACAGAATCTGCTAAGTGGGAAACATCTGCATGAAACTTCACCAATCCTTAAGTCGAAAAAGCAGAAGAGAAAGGCCGAAGTATCGAAAAACTGAAACTAAAGTTTTGCATTGTCACGGATGAACAGTAATGCACTTGTATGCCCTTGGTATGTGAAACATGAGGGTTTTTCAGAAATCTCAGTTTGGAATTTTAACGGTACACTCATTGATCGTGGGTCTGGCAATATTTCAAGCGTGTTTCACTTAAAACTTATAAGCCACTATAGTATGAAAAAGGTTTGCAATTGTTATAGTTTAAAGGTATTGACGTCAAGTAAATAACAAATTATGTAACACAATGGGATATAAAAAATAAGACTACTACATAAAATTCAATTGAACTTTTTTATTAAGGACATTCTACCTTCAAAAACTGCATGGTTTAACTAAGCTTTTACCATTTGATAAACACATATTTTATTTCAGAAATTTTAACCGTCAGTACAGAGCCAATATGGTGCAAATATGTAGAAAATTTACGAGGTCTTTTATATTTTTTCAATTACTACTCATTCCCGATTAAAGATAGGCTATGCAAGGTTAACACACGGACACATACATTTGGGCCAAAGCCCGCGTATGTGTCAGACATGTATAGAAAAAGGTCCCACCTAATTGAAGGGTGCAATTCCTTGGCTCCAGATAGAAAGGGCATAAGAATGCCACCCGATATGAGAATTACGTTTGAGTACGGAAACGAGAACCTAGGACCAATGTTCTGTTCTTGGAGGAAACAGGGTTGTTTTATTGTGTAGAGTACTGACTCTTTTGAGTCCCTAGCATGCGTTGAGAGTGAACGCATTTATCAACGCGAATATGTAGGCGGAATATTTAGTACCCACCCCATCTAACTTCAATTAGGCTAGTTTTAAGGAATATCGACTACTCGTAATTCATTGTAAAGAAAAGCGTGAATAATGATGTCATTGTGTGAATGGTAGCCAACGTTTCGCTCTGACAATGTTAATGATAATAATAATAATAATATAAAGAAGGACCATTAAAGATTAAAAGTTTTAATTGTATACTGTTCACATTTTTAACGTTTATTCACGTTACTACTCAGCATGACTTGGCTGTTGATATATCGTTAAACGAGCTTCGAATTGAATTTCACGAAAAATTACCCTAATTTTGAAAGATCTGACCCTCCGACGAAAGCGAATTAGCAGAATTTTTAGTGCTATGGCGATTAGAGATAAAACGGAAATGGAAGAATGTACAAAAGGGAACTAAAGAACTTACATAATTATAATATACTTGCTGAAGTCCCTCTGTCGTAATACGTTAAGTTCCAAAAGCAATTTTCTCCATGTTTATTACTTGGTAGTTCTTGGTGTTATAAATAATAATAAATGGCACCTGACCTGTTTCACAAAGTAGATTACAGGTCTGGAGTAGAATAGTTAGGGGGGTAAGTGCCTTAGACCGAGGAGCGCGCTGCTCCGAATACGTAATAAAGTCATGTTCGAGGTTGTAGTTAGCATTCTGCCGGAGGACGCCCTTGCTGCCCTACCTATTCCCGCCTACGCCTTTCAAATCACGTAGGAGTACCCAAAGTTTAATTGTATACTCGATGTAGCAGTCATTTGACATGGACAAGGTGAGTCCGCGTCGTTTGCGACTGGGTAGAAGCGGAATAATTGTTATGCTGAACAGCTTGGTTCAATGATCTGACCTTTTCCTTTTAGTGAAACAACAATAGGAGATTTTTTTTATTAGCAGCACGAATATTAGCGTAGGTAAACACTAGTAAAAACGTCTGACCTACAGTAAAGTAGGTGGATGAACGATGATATGTTTTGAATTAAAAAAAAAATAAAATAAAGGCCTAGGCCGGGAAGGCAGAAATGGTTTAAAAAACCTCATCCACAGACCCTAAAAGGAAATTTTACAAAACTGTTTAAACCTGTGCACTCTGATCGAAATGTTGGTTAACGAGTAGGTAATATTTCCATATTAATATTTTAAACACGACACATTTTAAACATGTTAAAAACGTAGAAACCTGAAGCTTACAAGCATAGTTTGATCATGGGATGTTTGCCGTGTTTCTACTATAGCAACATAAATAAAGAGCAGCAACAAAGCAAAAATGGTTCCAGAATTAGCAGAGAACAGGATCTATGTGGCTTGCCTGGATATGCTGCGAAGGATCATGATTCCTCGTTAACAATGAAACTGGTAGAAATGTGTTGACTTTGTTTCAAGGCAGACGCTGGAACATTCGGCATAAAACATCACTAAAGGTCAAATTAAAGCGGAGTAGAAACTAAAGTTTTGCATTGCCTGAGTTGTTGAAATAGTTGTTGGAGTGAGTATGAAAACGATGTTTCTACCCAGAAAAGGCTTGAAACACCGTAATTTCTTGTTACATTATAACAGAGTACAACTTGTGCAAGCTAGCTTAAAACTCAAATAATTGAGGAAAAATGTAAATGTTAGGATTAACCTTTGAAATACCAGATAATAATAATAATTAAAATAATGCTTTATTAAACATAAGAAAGGAAAAAAAAGACAAGTTGTTAGATTTCAAAGCATTTAAGGACATGGATCTTGGACCGTCTGCCAGAGGTCATTGATTAAACAATCAGAAACGAAAAAATACACAATAAAATAAAAGTTATAGCCTATGCAATAAAAAGAAAAAAAAGGAGAAACAACAACTGCCAAAATGCGAAAGAGAGAACAGAAAAACAGGTTATACAATAGAAATCAAAAATTAAACTCATTAATTAATTCATATCTGTAGTTCCATGCATGCCTAACGTAACGAATTAAGGGCCGCAAATCTGAGCCACTCAAAAACCGTAACAGGTCAACCCTGGGGAGAGTGAAACACCCGAAATGCCACAACCGAATCTCACCCAGGGATGAGCACTCCGCCAAGAAGTGGGATACAGTTTCAATAGAGCGCGAATTACACAAAGAACAGATTCCCAATTCCCCTCTGATCCAAACAGCCGAGTTTAAGTGTAAAACCTCACTTCTTAGCTTAAATAGCCATCGCAACTCATTGAGACCAAGACCGTCAAAATTATTTTCATATAGGTCAAACAATGCAGGAGAAATTTGTACCTCCTCGTAAAGTGTGAGATGCGTAGATGCTTGGACACGTGACCGGCATTCTTCGTGATGTTGTTTTTAATTTGATTAATAAGAATTGAAAAATAATTATGCCAGTCACAGAGGTTGTCTAAGGATATCAGATATGTACAGATAATATAAACTACAACAAAATAAAACTCCGGCTTGAACAAAACACGTTTTCTTAACCAAACACGTTTGTTTCTTTAAAAACATTGGTTTTATGTTTCATGATTACTTTTAACAATTATTACCAATGAAGTACGGAAACGACTACAATTTTCTAATGTGTGTCCACGTTATCTAGCTCTAACCAATTGTGACCGCAGAGCATTCCAAATCATACCAATCAACATTGCAGTCCATTGATGGTAAAATTAGTTGACTATACATCGACGGTAATCACGGATTCGTAACAGTACTTGGGGTCAGTACTCAGAAGTCATCAGGTCTCTTTCCTACAAATGCTGATGCGTTAATACAAAAAGGGTACGTAATAAGTCACTAGTCGGACGTTCTGTAGCAAAAGGATGAAACACGTTTGTTTAATGACATCTTATTTATCTTCTTTGACATTATGTCATGCTTCGACCCATTTGTTTGATAGTCAAGAGGCCTTTAAAATGAAAGATTTTTGAGTTTTAAGGAATAATATGGATATTACACAGAACTGTTGTCAATTTTCATCTTTCAATTAATTAAGGTTTTTAGTTGAAATAAAAAAGTCAGTGTCACGAGCGGGATTCGAACCCACGATCTTCGGCTAGATACGCCGCTGCTCAACCACTTGAGCTATCGTGACCTCGATCCACTCGGACACTAACTTCCCATCTCAACCCCACCTTTTGAATTTTTCCCTCCTTTTTGCCATTTTTCAAATGTCGTGTAATCTATTTGATTCTCAGCGACAAATGAAATGGCCACGGAGAGCTTTAGTGAAGTATACTTTATTTTAAATCATTAATTCACTAATTTCTTGGTCCGCTTGACCAATTAATACATTACAATTAATTAAGGTTTTTAGTTGAGATAAAAAAGTCAATGGCACTAGCGGGAAGTTCTCGGAAGGAAAGGAAAATCAAATTATTAAATTATTCAAAATTTATTATTTTTTCCAGTCAGTCAACGTGTTTTGTAATTTATCCAGGCCCTGAAGATGACCCGAATAAAGGTCGAAACGGCCGCAAAAAATGAAAAAATTGTTTTTCTAAACCACTTCATTCTTGACCGCTCTTCACGACTTCAACAAATTATGATACAGCAGGACATTAAGAAACACACGCCATATTTAAAGTTGGCAATTTTTAGAATGTTTGTTTGTGATTGCAGTGATATTTAAAATTTGAAAAACAAATTATTATCAGAGATGATGACTAAATCGCCAGCATGCATTAAAACTGCACTAATTAGCTAGATATTTTTTTAAACCGCTAATGGGAAAGGCGTTAAGAGGCGAATATTCAGATAGGTTATCGCGAAGGGTTTCGTCCCCCCATCCGGCTAACGGTTGATTCGGCATAAAAACGAAAACAGACGATGCAGGACAACTGGCGTTCCCCGGTCGGTAAGGATATCCATTGAGGTACGGGCGAGGCCGGCCTGCTTCCGCCGAGTTTCGCTCCACCGCGCGACGGGATACGGCTCAAGGATAACAGGGAACAGCACTCAGAGGGGTACTTCTGAGGAGGAGTACACGCACAATTACCCGGTCCCCCTGACGTCAAAGCACCCTTGTTACGTCAGGAAATAGAACTTGCGTAACAGTCAGAATCACGTACGCGAGGTGACCGACGGCTTGTCTATAATTTCAGATATCGCCACGTTTTATCAGATCGCAATTACTGGATCCGCTGATACATGCCGTTCGCTTTATCCTCAGTCGAAAATATCACCCCCCGGGCGGCATTATATATAATAAAATAAAAACTTACAGTTCGTGCAGACTAAAACACCTACCTGGAACAAAAAAACACATAATTTAACTACAATATAATCAATATATGTTATGCAAATATTACATGTACTTCAGAAACAAGTCTGGGATTAGGTAGGACTTTCAAGTTCTGGGCATTTTAATAAACTATGTTATTATTATTAACATAATAAATATTATTATTTATTTTAATAAAAAAAGGAAATCACATACTAAAATTAGTTTTAAATGATACCTGGCAGTTTTATTTCCCTTTCAATAAA